AAGATTTTTTCCCTCCTTTCCCTGAATCTTCTTTTTTGGATTGTTTAGTTGCAGAATTCCTTTTGCGACTATTTATTTTGTTGTTAATAAATTTATTTATTGTAATTTTTAAAATTTTGTGGCTGATGACATTTTCTGATAGTTTGTTCACCCAACCTAAATATATATTTTTAAAAAAGCTTGGATTATTAAATCTTTCATTAGGAATCTTAAATTTTTAAAATTGATAATTGTTAAAATAATATGTAAACATACCGTGCAAGCCATTATAAATGCGAATATCTATTCCTGGCCGTTCGCTCCTTTTACCACTGGCGGAATAATGTTTTATGCTTTCACCATACACTTCCAGCAACGTTGCTTTGACAATTCCTTTCCAATCATATCCTTTATCAGTTTTAGTACTAAGTTTGATAAAATTATATCTTTCGTTGCTTAAGTAAAATCCGCAAAGTGGTGATATTTCTATCTAAAATTTAAAAAAGAGAAATATTTTATAAAATTTTGCTCATTTAATTGTTTATTATAGTTTTATACAAATATAAAATGCAAAAAGCTTTGATTTTACCATGTCTGGTCCAGGTTCAAAATATTCTACAGGAACCTGAAATTACCAAAAAAGAGGGAAGAATTATTATTAAATCTAAAAAAAATTCTTTTATTACCTTATGATTATATATACTCACATGAAAATTAACTTTAGAGCTTAAGTTTGTTTTCTTTCTCAATTCGCGGGAATACTCCATAGTGGCAAGTAGAAATTTCAAAAATTGTATTTGGCTCCTTTTAACTGCAAGTATTAAATAATTTTTATAAATATAATTGTACTATTAAAATTGTTTCTATTATGAAATTAGTAATTTTTGACTAATGAAATAGAATCGATCATTCGTTAAATGAATTAGTAAGCGTTTTATGCAGTTGGTAGCAGAAAACTACTACTTCATTTGTGACGCGATCTGAAGAAATGAAAGCGAAGAAAGGGACCTTAGAAGCAAATCACTTTAAGGTGATTCAAAATCAGTGTTTATTAAATATTTTAGTTCAAATGAAGACTTAAACATTAATGATTTGTATTCACAGTTGATCCTTTTTTTGTATTTTAATTTCAAAAATTACAAACATAACCTATAATTTTTTGCTTCCAAGGTCCCTTTCTTCAGATCGCGTCACATTTGTCAAGGGGACTATTACATTTAGTAAACGTTGTTAATTAAAATAGTAGCTTTAATGAATAAGAATGTAGTGTTTTAATACCAATTAATACTTTTTTACTGAAAACTTGCCAAAGAGGTTATGTATACTTTAAAGGTACAGTATACCAAAAAAAAAAATACTTTAAATGCAATTTCTTTAAGTATGAAAAGAGATATCTAAATAATTCTTTGCATATATTTTCACTAAATATTTTACAAAAAAAATTTTCTTTTAGTTCACTCTATAAAGGTTTCAATGCTGGTTAGTACCCACTTTTGTTTAAACGTTCCAGTGAGCTAAAATCAAGCTCGCTGTGATCTTATGCTGTTTTTTTAAAAAATTTGCAGTGGCTAAAGAAACACGCGAGGAAATTTCAAAAAAGTTTGTATAAAATATTATGATGTTAAAATATATTTGCAAAGTTTTATTTAGAATTGTCTTTTTGTTATTAAAGAAATTGCATTTGACAAATTTCTTATCCTTTTAATGTGTACTGTTCCCTTAATGAATGATTCGTCCTACTTATCCATACATTGTACAGGAAGTACAGCTGAAAGTTTTTTAACACTTTCGAAGATGTCATTATTTTCAAATTCTGAAGAACTATCACCAGATGTTTCATCGTGAGAAGAATCATGATTTTCTTCATAGTCGTACTGATTTTTGACATTTAAATTTTCTTTCTGCTCTTCAGACCTGAAATGCATAAAAAGTTGATATTAAATAGTAATAATTGAAAAAATTAGGATCAAAATTCCAAAAGTCAGCCACAATAATTAGTTGTTGTAGAATAAAAATTCTTTTAAATAAATGTTTGTTTCTCCTAAGTGTTGTTATCGATTTTAATCGAGAAAGTAAACAAGAGCTTATTTGTGTAAAAGAAAGAAGACAAAATTTCGACATTGTTATTCCCTTTTTTACACGGAGAGAAAATTTATTACATATATTAACACATATCATATATATTTTGTAAAAGTTTTTACAGTTTAGGGAAAAAGTGCACCAAACCGAAACTTTGCTATCAAAAATACTAAACAGTGAAAGAAATAATTTGAAATTTAGTAAAGTTAGATTAAAATTCTTGATATTTGATATTATTATACTAAATTTCATATTATTCCTTTCACTGTTTAGTATTTTTGATACCAAAATTTCGGTTTGGTGCACTTTTTCCCTAAATTGAGAAGCACTTTTACAAAATTTAATATAATTTTCTTTCCGTGTAGATTTTATTCTTTTTGAATATAATTATTATTATTATTAATTATTTAATTTTAAAGTTAAATATAAGTTCACTATTTGGTTATGTAAAAATAACTACAATTTTGGTACTTAATTTAAAATAAAGTTTTTTAAGAAAAAAAGTGAATGTGATTGTTTTATCCAAAAAAGGCTTCAAAAATAGTAAATATCTAAGCAAAGCGCCACCTGTTTACTAGGTTCTGATTGTTTTTACTTACTGTAAATAGGATCTATCATCAGGCAATTCCTGCGGTTCAAAATATTGTAGCGAATCTAATTGAGAATTGCTACTTGGTTGCTCTACTTCCATTTGATCGTAATCTCCTACAGATCTTAAGGATTTAGTGTCAATTGTCCTAGGTCCACTTGTCATAAGTCCATTCGTTCTTGGTAAGATTGTCCTAACCCCATTTCTTTTTGGTACATTTGTTTTTGGTACAATTGTCCTTGGTCCATTTGTTCTTGGACCGATTGACGTAGGTCCCATCATCTTGGGTCCATTACTTCTGCATTCAATTTTTTTTTTATTTAATGACAATTTAGAATTTGAAGCTGTCGATTGTAATAGCAGTTGCCTTGATTTAAATCCTGAAGAAGTAGATGGTGCAACGGATGAAGTAAAATCGTTATTATTGTCTTCTTCTCCTTCTTCCTCTTCATCTTCTTCTTCTTCTGTTCCCGAATCTACTTCGTTTTTATTTTGGATTGAGGTTCTTTGTACAATTCGATGTGCTGGTTGTAAATATAATGTCTCTAAAAAATGAAATAAGATAAATTATTCATATTTAATTTACATCGTAATTGAATTAAATTCAGTGTTCAGCAAAAAATAAAAGTAGATTTTACCTTCTTGCAAATCACCTCTTTTTTGAATTTTTGATGGTGCAGAAAGTACAGGTTGTTTTTTTCGCATGCTTTCATCCGTTTGATATACATATCCTAAAAAGAAAAGGAATTTTAAAAGAAATTTATACCCTGTTTCAGAATTAATGAAAATCATATTTAAGATTTTAAAAATGAACTATTTCAAAAATTAATCAAAATAATGGATTTAAAGAAAATGTTTAGTTAACACTGGAAAAATTTACTTTTTGAGAAGTTACAACTTACTGCAGAAATTCGATTATTTTCAAGAGTAATAAAATTAAATCCAAAATTTCAATTATTTCTAATACAAATTTAATCAAATATTTTAGAAAATGTAATTATTCTTAAAAATTTTATTAAAATTCATTACAAGAATTCAGTTATTTAAAAATTTATTGATAAAATTCTTTATGAGATTTGAATTTTAAGAAACATTCAATTATTCAATAAATGATTTATTTTTGTATTTAAATAAATGAATTGTAGTAGAATGTTCAAATAAAAATTGATTTTAAAATGAATTTCAGTTAAAATTTTAGATAATAATTGAATATTAAAAGCAATATAGCGTGGATTTTTAGAAATAATTGAATTTTCGAAAATAATTTTTTAAGAAAATGGAATTGAATTTTTTTTATATTATGTTAAGTTTTTATTTTCTAATATATATTTAATTGAAGAATTCACGAATAATTGAAATTTGTAAAATTGAATATTGTTAATAAATGGATTTTGAAAATTGGAGAAGAACTTTTTTGAAAATTAATTGATTTGAGGTAGTACGCTCGTGATCGCACTTTTCTATAGAATTTCATGAAATTTGAAATCAGAATAGTTAATAACAAGATCTATGTATTTGCAAAATATTAAAAAAATTGACCGTTTCTAAAACAAGATATTTAAGTTAAAAGTTTGTTATTTAACATGGTTAACCTATAAAGATTGCATATAAATGGCACATTTCTTCTAAAAACTTCTAAAATTGTTTATAGATTGTTTTCAAAAACTAATATATTATAAATGAATATTTGAAAAATTTAGAACAAAAAGATTTAACAATATTAACTGTTTCAGTTAAAAGATATAATATAATATTCTAATCTGACTAATATACTTGTGTGTGAGTGTGTCTGTACATAGGGCTGACTATGTATTCAGTACAATCCAAGCAAAAAAATGCTACAGTAACTGCACCATACTATAGCATTTTATTAAAATTTACTTTTGGGAGTGACTGTCGCGAGCGTACTATACCTTAAAGAAAAAATTTAGTGAAAAATTCTTAAAAATAATAATTGAATTGAAATGATGAAAATAATTTATTTTTATTTTTGTCAGTAATTAATCCGTAATTTTTCATTTTTTCCCGTAAAGTCCGTATTTTTAAATAGTGGTTCGATCTCTGGTACTAAGTTAAATGAATTAAATATTTTTAAATGCTGTAAACAATTTTTGCCTAAAATATGTCAGATAAATCAAATGTAAAATTCAATTACACAATAATATAAAGTTGAAAAGTATTTTTCCACGAATTTACATTCTTTCTAATTAAAAATCACTAAAATTTAGTAGAATTCATGTAAAAATTCTATAGAAGCATTCTAGTGAAATTCTGTAGAATATTCACTAGAATTCATATAGAATGATTCTAGTGAAATTCTATAGAATTTGTTCAGCTGGGAAGTAACTTTGAACTCTTAAGTTATTTACATTTTATTTGTACTTGAAAAACTAGAGAGGATATGGTCATATCATTGTCCTAAATGCTTTTATTTTATTAAATTTGGTCAAAGGTTTGTAAATAAACTTGCAACATATTAACTACAAGATTAAGTGCTATCCGGAAATATGTTACAGTGAGGAGTAAATTGAATCTTACCGTCTGTTGAGTGATCTACTTTTTGACGCTTCAAAGGCGGAGCAAATAACGGTCGTTTTTTTTTTATTATTTCATTCATGTGGCGAATATTTGATTTTTTTATGTTGTTTTGAAAAACTTTTTGTTTATTCAAAATTTTTTTATCTTCTATTACTTCTTCCGAAAAAATTTTGTTTGAAGGTTGTACAATGTCTCCTGACGCTGTTACAACCAACTTATCTAATACACTTGCATCTTCTAAAAATGAAATATACTTATTATTTATCCAAAATGTTAATTATTATAAAACGTTAGATGTATTTAAAATGTTTATAAAAATCTTGGGAAAAAAATTTGAAACTTATCAAAGTTAGTGTAAATAACAATTATTTCTTTCAACAATTTCTGAATTGACTAATTCTTAAAATATCTTTATACTGTACACAGAGAAAACGATTTATTTGATTCAAATATATTTTGTTTAAATCAAACTTAAAATAAATTGTAAATAAAAAAAATAAATAAATAAATTTAATTATTATATTATTATTATTATTATTATTATTATTATTATTATTATTATTATTATTATTATTATTATTATTATATTATTATTATTTATTATTATTATTTATTTTATTATTTTTTTATTATTTTTATTTTTTAATAATAAATTTTATGTTTTTTTAAATATCTTTGGTATACCGTCAAACATATATAAGTTTAATCGAAAAATATTTTTTGGTTCATTTAAAAAAAATATATATTTAATTCAAACATAAGTTATGGTTGATTTTAAATTATTTATAATCAACTTTTAAGTTTAAATCAAAGATAAAGTTTCAAAACATAATTTTTGTTTAAATCCACACAGAAAATATATTTAAGTTAAACATAATTATTCAAACAAATAATATTTTTGAATCAAAGAAGTAGAAATTCTCTATGTTTTGGGATTAAGCTTACAAACTTTTCTATTTGAATTAAGTATAATGTTGTCTCAGTTTATTATTTAACTCAGTGTAATTCCAAATTAGCAGAAAAAAGTTATCAAAATGAGTTTACCTCATATTGTTAAGTCAAAATTTTTGTGCATAACAAATAATATATAAAGCAATCAATACTTACGGTCTATCGCCAATATCTTTGCTTCACAATATTTAACTTCCTTAGTTGTGAAATTCTTCCATGGGATTTCAGCAACAGAGTGTAGATTACGTTTTTCTTTAGGAAAAGTCGTTAATGGAATAACATCTCGTAGAGATGTATTCTTCCACCAAATTAATGCGAAAAGTTTCTTCCCTCGTGGAGCCATTTTATATGGTTTTTAATTTCTCAAAATTAAAAAAAAATATATAATTAACACCGAATTAGAAATTTCACAAGTGAAAAATAATATTTAAAGTGTAATTCACTATTTCTTTAAAACACTTTCATACACAACTTCACAATTTTAACTTCGTAAAAAGTTATTTTCTTGAGAGCAGATTTATTCCTTTTCTGGCAAATGCTAGAGCACAACTAACACTCGAAAGGCTGTTGTGAGAAAATCCCTTGAAAAATATTCCAAATTTTTGTAAATCTCCTTCCTTCATCATTTTCACAAAATATTTTACAAATTTTCTACTTAAAGAAATCTATATGAAAAAAACTGTTTCTGAAAGTCATAAAACGGACCACTTTATTGCAACGAGAAACCCTCTTTGGCCATTCTAAGACAAACCAGATGTGGCGAACCTATTCAAAACACAAAATTCTTCAAAAGTTTTCATTTTAGAAAGAAAACGTTTTATACAAAGTACAAGATAATCTTTGCTTAAAATAACAAATATTTGTCATGTCTACTTTTTATAATGATAGTAAAGTTACTAAAATATAGAAATGTTTATTATAATACTTACTTACATATTTTCTAATAATTTTGTATTTTCTTTAACTGAATCAGTGATTTAATTACCAGTTATTTTTCATTTTTAAATTAAATTAAAAATAATAAATTTTAGTTTTACTAGGGTTTCAATGTATTTTTTAATTGTTTAAACAATTTATTAATATTATTACTGTCACCATTTAGATCGTGAATTTCAAAAAGGGCTTAACTCAGAAAAACGTAAGAGTCATTTTCACTATGAATCGTTATGCGAAAAGGACTCTTACTGTTATTAGACTCTTACTATTTTTAGAATTGAGCCATTTTTGAAATTGACGATTAATTTATTCAAATAATTGAAGAAGTTAAATTTTTTAAAAATATATTTTACTAGAAAGATTCTTTAGAATCTTTCCATATATTATAATCTTTATTTCAGCCTATGGTCCCAGAAACGGACTTAGTTAAACGTATTTTTAATAATGTTTGTTATCAAAGCAAACACAAAATTTTTAATAATAAATATAAATTTTAAAAATCAAGTTTAAATAAATAAGAATGTAGAATAGATGAATTTAGAATTTAGAATGTAGTAAATAGATAGGTACTCGTTTTGGGTTGAATGCGATAGTTCTCGTTCGAATATTTGTCACATCTGTTTAGGCTTAGGATAAACAGTCATAAAACTATGAAAGAAACGAAAGAAACAAAGGATCTATTTTATAGTATTTTGTAGTATACCTGTCTTTTTTACACAGTTCTTCAGGTCATACTTTTCTCACTTATTTTCATATTTGTACGTATTTATTATTATTATTATTATTTATTTGCTTTTGAAAAAATTAGAGTTGTTAAAAATAATTTAATTCCTGCAAAGAATTTTTGTATTTATAAAAATAGTTGAATTGTTTCGAATAATTTATTAAAATTTTAGGAAATAATTGAAATTTATTAAAATATTTAAAAATATTTGAATTCATCCGAGAAATTTAATTAAAATTGTTTTGAAAATAATTGAATTCCTGCAAAGAATTTTACTATTTATAAAATTAATTGAATTCTTGTGAAGAATTTTACTCTTTATAAAAATAATTGAATTTTTTCGAAGGATTTATTAAAATTTTAGAAAAGAATTGAATTTTTTCGAAATGTGCTAAAACTTTTTTAAAAATTGAATTTTTCCGAGGAATTCAATTAAAATTGTTTTGAAAATCATTGAATTTTTGTAAATATTTTACTATTTAAAAAAATAATTAAATTGTTTAGAAGGATTTATTAAAATTGTAGAAAATAATTGAATTCTTTCGTGAAATTTTTTAAAAAATTTTGAAAATATGAACAGTATTAAAATAAAAAATTTTGTAATTTGCTTAACAATAATAAATTAAATATTACGTTCCGCGCGTAACAATTGCAAGTAATAATATCATAATTATACAGTCTATCTAAAGTTAACAAAAAAAAAGTATAAACAAAAGACAACTTCAGAGTGTGAGGGACAGAAAAAGTAAATGAATCAATGAAAGAACACTCAAATTGTTATAGTTAATTAATAATAAACTAGCAACAAATCGCGCGGCTAACTTCTTACTGACTTTTTTAAATAAAATTACCAATTTTAAAAATAATAAAGTTACCAATTTTAAAAATAATAAAATTTGAAAATTTTTTAATTTAAATTTTTGTTGAAAATACTAAAAAAAAATGCAATTTTGTAGAATTTAAAAATAATTGCAAAAATTCTTTATAAAAATACAATTCTTCTTATTAAATTCACCTACGTTCAAATCTTGAAAAAAATTCTCGTAAAAATCCCAATTATCTTTATAAATAACAAAACTCTTCTCCAAAGTTCAATTATTTTCAAAAATTTTTCTAATTTTAATGATTTTCAATATCTACGATTTTAATAAAATATTTCCCAAAAACGAATTCAATTATTTAAAAAAAAATTTAATTTGAAATTTTAGAAAATGACAATTTTGAATGAATGAATTAAATAATAAAAATTTCAGAGGAATTCTATTATTTACAAATTTTTTATAAATTTCTTCTCAATAATTCAATTATTTTCATGAAGAATAACATTTTTTAACCAGGAATTCAATTATTTTCATAAATAACAAAAATCAATTATTATTTTCATAAAAAATAATTTAAAATTCTAGAAAATAATAATTGAATTAAAATGATGAAAGTAATTTTGATAAAGTTACAGTAACAATATTCTTATATTGTAAAATAATGATTTTATCTCTCGGTCATCTTTAATTTATTAGAAAACATGAAGAAATCGATCACTCCGAGTCTTCGCGACTCGGAGCAATTGATGTCTTCATGTTTTATAAACAATACTTTTATATCACACTAAAATTATAAATCTAAACAAAATAACAGCACAATAATACTTTTATAAGTTGTTTAATTTAAAAAAGGTTTGAATTTTGAATTTTTGAATGTCTTAATTCCTGTGGAAAATCCTGTTCCAAAGATAAGATTAAAATATGAATTGAGCAAATATTTTTCTTCTTTTTCTAAAACAAAATAATAATTTTCATAAACAAATTGTGATTGAAAGAGAAAATAATGGAAAATAAATAAATTCTCTATTTCTTAATCGCAGTTGTTTAATAATTTTCTAATTTTTTTAGAAGTAAAGAACAAAAATAATTTCAATTTGACAAAACATAATATTTAACAAAAATTTTAGTCTTTTAATGAAAAGAAGTAAAAAAATTTCGGATTTTCGGCTTTTCGAAGTGAAGTTAGATTTATAATAAAGGGTCTTTAAAGAGGGCAGTACTGTGTTGTCATATAGCGCTTTCTCTCTTACCGACAGAACTCAAAATAATTTGGTTTCATTAAGTCGTTTTTGCTTATGTTAAAGCAAACATATAAGTTTTTCTTTAAAATTTTCAGTATATTTAAGATTAAATATTCTTTTAAATTAAATATATTTATCAAAACAAATAAAATTTTTAATCTAAATTAGTTAATATTTTTTAAAATTGAGATTGAATTCATAACAAGTGTTAAACTTAAGAAAATTATTCAAATTTATTCTTCTACTTAAATTAGGTTTAAAATATTATTTATACTTTCTGTAAAATGATCTGATTTCCAATCAGTTAAATTTCACTGTAAATCAGTAAAAAATAATTAAATTATCAGTTATTTTTTATTAATTCGTCATTAAAAATTTAATTAAGTGGAATTTCTTTGTTCCATATTCAGAGAATGTATCTTATATTTTATATATATTTTATTTATATATATATATATATATATATATATATATATATATATATATATATATATATATATATATATATATATATGTATAAAATTTAATATTCATAAAAAATTTTATATTTTTATATATGTACACAAATTTATATATATGTATATATATATATATATATATATATATATATATATATATATAAAAGAAAAGCTTTATGTTAGTCACTTACAACATTCAAAAAGTTTTAAGTATAAATTTACACTTAAAGCGCAGGCGCAAGTTTAAACTAGAAAAATAATATACAATTAAAAATCTTGTAAGGCTCTAAGCAAAACTAAATTTTATCTCAGACTTTGTTAGATGCGGAGCAGAACTTGTCGACATAAATATGATAGAACTTAAAAGTCCTTAAATATACTATACCAAATCCAAACAGATTCTGAATTCTATCTCAGACTTTGTTAAACTCTAAGCAGAACTTGTCGGTTTAGATGTGATAGAACTTAAGAGTCCTTAAATATACTATACCAAAACCTTACAGACTCTACGTAGAGTTTGTAGGTATTAAAAGTATCTATTCAGAACTTATTGTACTCTAATAGATTCTAAAGCAACTTTAAATTTCGACTCGGGAATTCTGTAACAATCACATGCTGTTAAAAAAGAATTTTAGTTAAAAATTCTTGAAAATAATAATTGAATTGATAATGATTTTATCACTCGGTCATTAATTATTATAAAACATGAAGAAATCATTTCTTTCATGATTTCTTCATGTTTTATAGTTATGAAAAATTTAATTTTTAGTTTTAAGTAAAATGTTCTCTTATTTTTGACTTGGACTGGTTACATTTTTGTCAGTAATTGGTCCGTAATTTTTCAATTTTTGGTCCGTAAAGTCCGTATTTTTAAATACTGTCACTGGTTCGAGCCCTGAAAAAAAACAATTGTGTATTGCAGTGTAATAAGAGTATTGGAAAATAATAGAATAGTGACAAAGAATTTTCGTGCATTATTTTGCGTGGAGTGAATATAAGGAACTCTGAGGGAAAGTTTTGTCTAACTTTGCTTTTTACGTTGGGATATTTGACGCCCGAGTGTATGGCTTCTAATTATAGTTTTACTCCAAGTAAAACTAAAACCACGCTGAGTGACTATTAGTTGCATTCCACTCTCTATTTAACCAGATGAATTTCATTTTGAAGCAAAGAGGAAACCATCAGCGCCCTTCAAAACTGACAGAAACTTTGGTTTTATATGTCTTCTTCATCTTTGAACGAGAGACATTCTCTCTCGCACGAAATATCAAACAACCCTATAATGTCTACGTCTATAGTAGTAAGAGACCTTTCACTTTGAATCGCCAGTTTTATACATTTTCATGTCCTTTCTCCTCAATTTTTCAGCATCAGCTGAAATATGAGTGTATTAGAAATGCTGCAAAAATTACAAAGCTCTTTGTAGTTTTCTCTGCTCTTGCTTTTGCATTTTTTCTTCTTTTTGTTAATTTGTTACAGACAGACTTTTCACTTTTTCCCTGACCCTAAAAAATTTTCT